AGTTAGTATGATGCGCCGAGCCCGGTGCATGCAAAACAGATGAATGAATGCAAACATGCTGTCATACTGTATGCTAATTTAAACATGCCCTAATCTAACCATCAAAAGCGGATAAATAAAAGGGAGAAAGACGTGGGGTTGGAAGACATACATCACACTCACCCACACTTATTACAGTTATGCCCTCACTCGGAGGGTCCGAATAAATATACAGTCCAAATATTACAGTCCCGAATAAAAGAATATTACAGTTCAAAATATTACAAAATTCTAATTAATTAAAGAATTAATTAAGAAAGCAAATAAACTGGCGTGTAGGCCAGGGACTGCCTTGCTTCTGATGGATGATGCATGTCCGGATTGTCTTGCGCGGAAATCCACCGGAATGCCCCAATTAGCCTCTGTTTACACCTGTTCTTGAAATCCGTGCCGAGCCCCAAAAAGGTTGCTAATTCTGCTTTTTGCTGCAACAGAGAGCAGGAAAGGGGCATAGCAATGTATTTGCACAGATATATGCATGTCTCGATCCTCGTGCCACCAATCACGCTTGTCGAGGCATGATGGCCGAGGAGTCGAAATGCACAACTCAATATAGGATGAATGCACATGAAAATACAGCTAAAACCTAACTCCATCATGGATAATCCGGAGTGTCGGTGACTGGGGAATTGAGACACATTCCGTCACTCGGAGTACGAAATGTACCTCGTTTCCCGTGCCCGGGCTAACTCCTATTCTGAACACGATGCAATATGCATGATATGCATGAAATGCAACTAAGATATAATCCTAACATACTCAATGTTATGGAAATGAAATGCCTCGAAATGCGTGCACGCAGGCACGCAAACCGAGAAAATGCATGAATGCAATGAAAATGATATGCCTCGAAATGCGTGCACACGGGCACGCAAACTGAGAAAATGGCAGAATACGATAAAAATGAGATGCCTCGAAATGCGTGCACATGCGCACGCAAACCGAGGCAATGGTAAAATGCAATGAAATGACATGGAAATGACAAATGGGCTTATACCAACATGAGTGAGCCTCAGCCACACTCACATAGGATGCCGGCGGATGAAAATGAAGTGCCTCGAAATGCGTGCACACGGGCACGCAAACCGAGGCAATGACAGAAAAAGCCCATTTGTCATGTTTCCATGTCATTTCATCATACTTTGTCATTGCCTCGGTTTACGTGCCCGTGTGCAACGCATTTCGAGGCACCTCTTTTTTATCCGCCGGCATCCTATTGGGATGTGGCTGAGGCTCACTCATGTTGGTGTAAGCCCATTTTGTCATGTTTCCATGTCATTTCATCATATTTTGTCATC